TCTCCTTTCCCTCCTCTCCTTCCTTCCTTCCTTCCTTCCTTCCTTCCTTCCTTCCTTCCTTCCTTCCTTCCTTCTCTCATCTCCTTTCCCTCCTCCCCTCTCTTCCTTTCTCCCGTCCTTCCTTCCTTCCCATATCTCCCTCCCTCCATCTTCCTCCTTTCCATCCTTCCCTCTTCTCTTTTTCCCCCCCTCCCTTCTTCCTTCCCTCCCTCCCTCCTTCCCTCCCTCCCTCCCTCCTTCCCCTCATCATGAGGTCATTGGTCCAATGTCAGACTGTCCGCGTGAGTGTGCCTTGGCGCCCTTCCCTTTGCCACTGTGTGAATGGGGGCACGGGGGGGGGTCGAGGGGGGGCAGGAGACCTCGGGAGGGGACCCCCCCTGGTGACTTTGGGGTGTCTCCCAGGTTGGCACCGGAGCCACAGTGGCCACTTTGGCAGACGCCTCCGAATTGCCCACCACCGTGACGGTCGCCCAGGTGAACTACTCCGCCGTGGCTGATGGAGAGGTAAGGGGGGGGGGTCCCTTCCGAAGCGGTTGACATCAAAGAAAGAAATGAAAGAAATGACGGTCGTAAGTCCAGGATCTTCTCTTCCTCCCCGTTGGGGATAAAAGTCAGGATAAAGTCCAGAACTAATAAGAAAGGGGGTGCCAAAATCGGACGCGGTCACAGGGCGGGCCTGCTAAAAGGGACGCGTGAGAGGGGGCTGACGGCCTCCCTTCCCGTCGTACGTTGAGGACCGCCTGTCGTTCCTTCCAGCCGAGCTTCAACACCCCCCCCAGGAAGGAGCTCAGGCCGCTGGGCACCTTCTGAAGGGAGAACGGGACGAGCCGGTTTGGGAATCCAGTCGGAGTTGGTTAAAATTGGGGAAGGGGAGAGGGGAGGTCTCTCTCACACACACGCACACACACACACACAGTTTTTTTTTAACCTTGGTCTCTCTCTCCCCTCCGCCATATTGGTCTCCAGGCCTTTGTGGCTGCCTCATTCTCTCCCCCAGCCCCAAAACCAAACGGTGTAGGGTTCTCAGGCAGCACAAAACAGCTTTTGTTTCCCCCACAAGAAAGCGGATTTCCATCTTAAAAAGCAGCTGGAAATTGTGTTGTGTTGTGTGCGTGTGTGTGTGTGTGTGTGTGTTCCTGATTCGTCCCTTGAAAATCCGCTGGGGGAAGACAAGCCTCCATTGTTCTGAGCCAGGCTGGACTCTTTTTAAGGCTTTGGGAGGGCAAATTTAGCCCCTCCCCTTCCCTCCCCCCCACTCTGATAGTCCTCGACTTAACGGCCAGAAGTCCTCGGTTTACAACCACCAAGGAGGCCGGCCCACCCTGGTCGTAAAACAGGTCAGCCCTCCCCCCCTGCCCCATGACCCTCCGCTTTTCATGAGCTTTTGAAGGCAGCGGTCGTTAAAGCGAGTGCTGTGGGGAGCCAAGCAGCCGTCATGGTCCCTAAGGGAACAACGTGGTCGTTAAGTGAAGCAGTGGTTTGCTCTGGGCTGGTCTTTTGGGGTTTGTTTGTTTTTTTGCCAAACCATTGCCAAATGCAGGACAGGGCAAATGGTCGTAAATGCGGGTCACGTGGCCACAGGTTGGGTTGGCTTAAGACCACAATGGAGCCCATGTCCCTAAGCGAGAAGTTTGTTCAGTGAGTTTCGCCCCATTTTGCGACCTTTCTCGCCACCGTTGCTAAGCGAATCGTGGTGGTGGTTAAAGTCAGTCACACGATTGTTAAGTGAATCCGGATAGATGGTCGCAAAAGGGGACACTGCAACCGTCATAAGTATGAGTCAGTTGCCGAGCATCCAGATTTTGGTCACATGACCAAGATGGATGCTGCAACGGTCATAAGTGTGAGACTCAGTCGCAAGTCACTCCCTTCGGTGCTGTTCAACCTTTGAATGGTCACTGAATGAACCGTCGCAAAGTCAAGGACCGAACCTTTGGGGGGGAGGACCCAGCCTAACGCCAAACGTTTGCTAAGCGACCGGTCATAAGTCGAGGACTCTCTGGTCTCCTCCGTCCCGCCAGGTGGAGCAGAACTGGGCGACGCTACAAGGGGGCGAGATGACCATCCAGACCACCCAGGCCTCCGAAGCCACGCAGGCCGTGGCCTCCCTGGCCGAAGCCGCTGTAGCCGCCTCACAGGAGATGCAGCAAGGCGCCACCGTCACCATGGCGCTCAACAGGTGAGGGAGGGGAGGGGTCGGGGAGGGAGGGGTCCAGGGTCCCTGTTTGAACCCTTTACCAGATCTCGGTAACCCTTGGTTGGTTGGTTGGTTGGTAGGTTGGTTGGTTGGTAGGTTGGTTGGTTGGTTGGTTGGTTGGTAGGTGGGTTGGTTGGTAGGTTGGTTGGTTGGTTGGTAGGTGGGTTGGTTGGTAGGTTGGTTGGTTGGTTGGTTGGTTGGTTGGTAGGTTGGTTGGTAGGTTGGTTGGTTGGTTGGTTGGTTGGTTGGTTGGTTTCTTTCTTTTTTGTCTTTCGTTCTTTCTTTCTCTCTCTCTCTCTCTCCTTCCTCTCCTTCCTTTCCTTTCTCTCTCTCCCTCTCTTTCCTTTCTTACCACCTACCTTCTTTCTTTCCGTTTCTTTTTTCTTCCTTTCTTTTTCTTTTTTCTTTCATCTATCTATCTTTTCTGTCTCTGTCATCCCTCCCTTCTCTCCTTTCTTTTCTTTCTTTTTCTTTCTCTCTCCCCCTTTCCCCCCTCCCTTCCTCTCTCGTTTCTCTTTCTCTTTCCTCACTCCCTTCTTTCCTTCCTCTCTCCCTTTCCTTCTTATCACCTACCTTCTTTCTGTTTCTTTTTTCTTTTTCATCTATCTTTTCTTTCTCTTTCCTTCCTCCCTCTGTTTCCCCCTCCCTTCCTCTTTCTCTCTCCCTCCTTCTTTTTCTTTCTTTCCTCACTCCTTTTCTTCCTTTCTTTCTCTCCCTCTCCTTCTTACCACCTTTCTTTCTCTTTCTTTTTTCTTTCTTTTTCTTTTTTCTTTCTTTCATCTATCTTTTCTTTCTCTTACCTCTCTTCCTCTCTCCTTTCTTTTCTTTCTTTTGCTTTCTCTCTCTCCCTTCCTCTCTTTTCTTCTTACCCCTTCTTTCCTTCCTTCCTTCCTCTCTCTGCCTCTCTCCTTCCTTCTTACCGCCTACTTAATTTCTTTCCTTCCTTCTTTCTTTCATCTATATCTTTTCTTTCTCTTTCCTCCCTCCCTTCCTCTCAATTTTTTTTTCTTTCTTTCTTTCTTTCTTTCTTTCTTTCTTTCTTTCTTTCTTTCTTTCTTTCTTTCTTTCTTTCTTTCTCTCTCTCTCTCTTTCCTCCCTTCCCTCCATCTCTCTTCTTCTTATACCTTCCTTCTTTGCTTCTTTCTTCCTTTTTGTTTTCTCTCTCTCCTTCCTTCCTTTCTCTTTCTCTACTCTTTCCTTCCTTCCTTCCTTCCTTCCTTCCTTCCTTCCCCCTCTTGTCTATCTCTCCTTTCTTCCTTCCTTCCTCCCCTTTTCTTTCTTTCTTCCTTCCTTCTTTCTCTTCCTTCCTTCCTTCCTCTTGTCCTTCTTTTCCTTCCTTCCTCTTATCTATTTCTCTCTCCTTCCTTCCTTCCTTCCTTCCTTCCTTCCTTCCTTCCTTCCTTTGTGCAAAACCTTCCACTTCTCCCACAGCAACCAAATGGCAGAGCTAATCTACAGAATCCTTTTTTTAACAAAAAAAAGAGAAAGAAATAGGGTGTTTCGTTTTCCTTCTCCAACGAGCAACCCGGATTCTTTTCGGTGCATCCTCGGGAAAAACGCAGGATTATGGGGGGGGGGGGCGGGGCGGGGGGGGCTCCCCTCTCCCCTCCCCCCACCCAGCCTTTGCCAGCTTGCTGGCTCCAATGCCTGAGCGCAGGAGAACCCGGCCTTTCGCTCTCCTCCTCCTCCTCCTCCTCCGGCGGCTGCGTGGGAAGCAGAGATCGCTTTTCAGGCTGGCTCGGGGAGCGGGAGATTCATAGCATCCCTGGAGGGTTGTCTTAACAAGCCTCGAAGCACCTGAGCTGATTTGAGTGCCTAGTGGGGGGGGGGGGCAGGGAGAACCGGGTTACCTGGAAAGGGTAGGGGGGGGGGGGGAGGAGGTGGGGGAGGGACAGCCCTGCTGTGAAGCTGAGAAGGATCAGGCAGAACAAACCAAACAAACAAGAAAAAAAACCAAGCAGGTTTTTTTTTTATTCCGCCCCACACCGAGTCGGTGATCGTCACTGGAGAAGAGAAAAGGCCGTCTGGGCATTTTATTCCTCCCGGCCTCAATCGGTTCATTTGGATGTTCACTTTTTTTTTTTTCATCTAACATAACGAGAATATTTGTAGCTCGGGGTTGAAAGGAGGGGTCAGGTCGGCACTCTGAGCTTGGTGGCTTTTCTTGCAGACGTTTCATGACCCAACTGGGGAATATTATCAGTGCTAGAAGGAAGTGAGTGGGGTTGTGGAAGGGAAGAGGAGGAGGAGGAGGAGGAGGAGAATGATGACTGTGGGGTCCTTGGTGCTCTCTAAGCTTGATGGTTTTCTTCCAGACATTTCACGACCCAGCTAGGTAACATCATCAGTGCTAGAAGGGAGGAGGAGAAGGAAAAAGCGGGGAAAAGGAAGAAGAAGGAATGAAAGTATGGGAAAAGGAGGAAGGACTGGGGTCTTTGGTGCTCTCTGAGCTGGGTGGTTTTCTTGAAGACATTTCATGACCCAATTAGGGAACATCATCAGTGCTAGAAGGGAGTTGGGTTTGTGGAAGAGAGAGAGGAAGGAAGGAAGGAAGGAAAAAAGGGAAGGAAGGAAGGAAGGAGAGAGAGAGAGAGAAATAGATAAGAGGAAGGAAGGAAAAGAAAAGGACAAGAGAAAGGACGGAAGAAAAAAGGAAAAGGAAGGAAGAAAGAAAGAAAAGGGGAGGAAGGAAGGAGAGATAGACAAGAGGAAGGAAGGAAGAGAAAGGGGAAGGAAGGAAGGGGAGAGAAATAGATAAGAGGAAGGAAGGAAAAAGGAAAGAATAAGAGGAAAAAAGAAAGAGAAAGGGGAAGGAAGGAAGGAAGGAAGGAGAAAGAGAGGGAGGGAGGATGGAAAGAGAAAAAAGAAGGAAGGGAGGAAGGAAGGAAGGGTTGTTGGGGGTCCTGAGTGCTCTCTGAGCTTGGTGGTTTTCTTCCAGACGTTTCATCACCCAACTAGGTAACATCATCAGTGCTGGAAGGGTTTGTGGAGAGGAGGAGGAGGAGGACAGCGGGGTCCTGGGTGCTCTCTGACCTTGATTGTTTACTTGCAGATGTTTCATGACCCAACTAGGGAACATCATCAGTGCAAACCCTGCAGGGACCCTGCTTGGCGCGCAAATAATACCCTCAAAGCGCACAAAGAGAGAGTATCAAACTCAAATTGAAAAGAGGCAAGCGATGCTCACGCTGAATTCCCAGGCGGGGAAGGAGAACCTTTCCGCGGCCTTTTCTTCCTTCTGCTCACGGGGGGCTCTCTCTCTCTCGTCTTGTCTTGCAGCGAGGCGGCCGCTCACGCCGTGGCCACTCTGGCGGAGGCCACTCTCCAGGGCGGAGGGCAGATCGTCTTGTCCGGCGAAACGGCCGCAGCCGTGGGCGCGCTCACCGGGGTACCAGATGCAAACGGTAAGCGGATCCTGATCCCCGCGTCGCGTCTCGCCTTTCGGGCTCCCCGAGGGAGTTTGCGCCCCTGGCCGGTGGAGGGTGAAGGTCCTCTAGGACCGGCCAGCGCCTGTTGGGTTGGGTTGGCCAGGAGATGGAACATAGAATAATAATAATAATAATAATAATAATAATAATAATAATAATAATAATAATAATAATAATAATAGTAGTAGTAG